CGCAGGAGACCCCGACATACCCCAGAAGACCCAAGGAGGTGCCTGGGGAGCCCCTCAGCAAGGCCGTGGCAGACCAACAACATCCCAAATCACTACAGTACTGCAACCCCAAACCCCCGACGTCATGATTTTTTCAAAACGTCGACCCTCAGAGGTCTCGACCCATTCCCCTGGACCCGTTTTCCAGCCTGAGTCACTTCTTGACGGCCTCGAAGGCCTGCGAGGGCCTCCAGAAGCCGCACATTTGGGAAAACCTCCCGTCATGATTCTTTCGTTGCCCGAGGGGGTCTGGGACCACCATGCTGCCCTACGCAACGTCGAAGACTGAACGAAGGCGGTCTTCGGGCCACGGCGAGCCTCGGACACGAGCGAGCTCCCCGACTCAGATCCGGGGAGAGGCCCGAACACCGGAGCCCCTCCTGAGTCCAAAGTGGTCCTTCCTCCTCCTCCTCCTCCTCCTCCTCCTCCTCCTCCTCTTCCTCTTCCTCCTCCTCCTCCTCTTCCTCCTTCTCCTTCTCCGCCTCCTCCTCCTCCTCCTCCTTCTCCGCCTCCGCCTCCGCCTCCTCCTCCTCCTCCTCGTCCTCCTCCTCCTCCTCCTCCGCCTCCGCCTCCGCCTCCTCCGCCTCCTCCTCCTCCGCCTCCTCCTCCTTGTCAGCGCCCTGGCTGCATGGCACGCAGCCGCCTGCCACTGCCCGCCCCCTCACAGTCGAAGCACGGCCATGAGAGCGCGGGTCGAGGGTATGAGCCGAGCCCCTTTGCCAGGGGGCATGGGGTACTGGTGGAACCCGAGACGAAGAACACTCCACGGTAGAGGGCCCAAGCGAGCGGAACCGGCAAGTACCCTCCAAAGCTGGGGATACTCTTGACTCTTGACTGCGTCTATAGAAATCTGACCAGCCCTTTAGGGCGTGAGTGGTTTAGGGGGTCGCCTCGTCCTTCGTCCTGCTTCCCCTTCGGGGAGGGTTTTTCTATATGCTTGTTCCCTATTAAGAAACACGCCGTCCCCCAGGCGACCAGCAGGCATCCCGAACCAATGCTCCCCCCCGCCATCCCCTGTGAGAATTAGCCTGACGAACGACCCAACCATATGCAGCTGCGAGTACCGCGAGGGAGATGAGACGAAGGAGGGGGGGCGCGCGAACGAGCCCTGCCTCTGGGGCCTTCGGTGGAGCTCCATATGGGGCCACGAACCGTGTGAGGGGTGCGCCGAAATGAGGTTGGAACTGCATGCAAACCCTGCCACTGAAGCATTCGGTGGAGCTTTCTATGTGACCACGAACCGTGTGAGGGGTGCGCCGAGATGAAGGCAGAACTGCATGCGAACCCTGCAAATGTGGCGTTCGGTTGAACTCCCTATGGGGCCACGAAGCGTGTGAGAAGGGCACCGAAATGGGGGCGGAACTGCATGCGAACCCCACCGCTGTAACCTTCGGTGGAGCTCCCTATGGGCCACGAACCGTGTGAGGGGTGCGCCGAGATGAAGGCAAAACTGCATGCGAACCCTGCCACCGGGGACTTCGATGGAACTCCCTTTGGATGGGGCCACGAACCGTGTGAGGGGTGCGCCGAAATGGAAGTGGAACTGCATGCGAACCCTGGCACTGGAGCCTTCGGTGGAGCCCCCTATGTGGCCACGAACCGTGTGAGGGGTGCGCCGAAATGAGGGTGGAACTGCATGCGAACCCTGCCACTGGGGCCTTCGGTGGAGCTCCACATGGGGCAACGAACCGTGTGAGGGGTGCGCCGAAATGAGGGCGGAACTGCATGCGAACCCTGCCACTGGGGCCTTCGGTGGACCTCCATATGGGGCCACGAACCGTGTGAGGGGTGCGCCGAGATGAGAGCGGAACTGCATGCGAACCCTGCCACTGGGGCCTTCGATGAAGCTCCCTTTGGGGCCTCGAACCGTGTGAGGGAAGGGGTGCACCGAAATGGGGGCGGAACTGCATGCGAAACCTGCCTCTTGGGCATTCGGTGGGGCCCAACTATGGGTCCATTAACCGTGTGACAGGAGCGCCGAGATAAGGGTGGAAACGCATACGAACCCTGTCACTGGGGCCTTCGGTGGAGCGCCCTACGGTGCCACAGACCGTGTGAGGGGTGCGCCGCAATGGAGGTGGAATTGCATGCGAATCCTGCCGCTGTGGCATTCGATGGAACTCCCTGTGGGGCACCGAACCGTGTGAGGGGTGCGCCGAGCTGAGGGTGGAACTGCATGCGAACCCCACCGCTGTGGCCTTCGGTGGAGCCCCCTATGAGGCCACGAACCGTGTGAGTGCGTGCATGGATGGGCGGGGAACGATGACGATGATGGTGATGATGACGGCCGTAATGGTGATGGCGATGGTGATTACGATGACGGTGATGAGTTTTGAGTTTTATGATGGCGGTGACGAGCTTGATGATGATGGTGATGATGATGCTGATGATGCTGCTGATGATGATGATGATGATGTGATGATGGTGATGACGACGATGGGGGGGAGGAGCGGGAGGAGGAAAGAAAGGAGAGATGGACGCGGGGCGCTGTCTCGTCAAAACGAAGACCCAACACAGGATGGTTGGGAACAAATGCAGAATTCGCTTTGCCTCCAAATCTGGAGCATGCGCGGGCGCCCAGCGACCACTTGTGTTGGGAGGGCGGGTTGGAATTAGAGAGACAGCTTGCGGTCGGGGAGGGTGCCTTGACCCCTCCCCCCACCCCCTCCCAGTGGGTCTGGACGGGAAGGGGCGCGATGTGTCAGAGGGTTGTTGTTGGCCTCTACAAGGAAGCCAACATCATTGGTGTTACTTGTGTTTTGGCCAGATGTTGGCCTCCTGGGGCGGGGGGGGGGGCGCCTCCTGGGAGGGGTGGCCACTCCTTTGATCGATCTCCTCCAAGATGGCCTCAGGATGGCCCCCGAGGCTCCCAAGGGTGCCCCAAGACGGCCCCAGGAGGTGCCTAGGAGGCCGCAAGAGGCCCCCCAAAGGCCCCCAAGATGGCCAAAGCGGCTCCCAAGAGATCCCCCAGAGGCCCCCCAGAGGCACCCAAGACGCCCCAAGAGGCCCCCTGGACTGCCAAGAGACCCCCAAGACGCCCCAAGAGGACTCCCAGTAGCTCTCGGGAGACATCCGAACAAACTCCGAGAGGCATCCAAGAGCCCTCTGGCCTCTCTACTCGCCCTCCTCCTCCCCCTCCCCCTCTTCCACCTCTATGCCATATCCATATGAATCACTTCTCCCTGTCGCACCCCGAGGCCAATGTTTAGGGCGGGCCGGGCGTTTCGCCTGAGACTTCCTCACCGCTTATGACTCTGAAGCTGAAATATTGACAACAGCTTCACACATGGAGGGCGGGTACATTTCAAACTGAGGCTCTCGCCTCAGCGCCGCCCACATTCGTTTGAAACATTTGCAAACACTTTACGGATTGAAGATGCCCCGTTTCAAAATGTGATTATCGCCTTAGCGCCGCGCACATACGTTCTAAACATTTGCAAGAGCTTCACGGATTGAGGAGATCCCGTTTTCAAAATGTGGCTCTCGACTGAGCGTCGCGCACATTCGTTCTAACAAGGTGCAAGACCTTCACGGATTGAGGATATCCCGTTTTCAAAATGTGGCTCTCGTCTTAGTGCCGCGCTCATTCGATTTTAACATCTGCAAGACTTTCAAGGATTGAGTGCGGTTCCTTTTCAAAATGTGGCTCTCGCCTGAGCGCCGCGCACAGTCGTTTATAACAACTGCAAGAGTGCCACGGATTTCTACGATCAAAGTAACAGAACTGGTGTTTTGGACAGATTCGGGTTTTTGCTGGTGCAACAGTTACATTGATTCGCGGTGTTTAAATCCCACACATGGTTTCCTGGCACGATCCAGGATCGTCAAGACGCAACAGTCAGGTTGATCCCTGGCGCTGGAATCCCGAGAACAATGTTTTGGCATGATTCCAGTTCTTCAAACGGTTGTCTTCCAACGGGGCAGGTCCCTCAATGGAAATCAACCGTTATAGGGGCCTATGCAGAGGGAGCTTGGCGGGATGGAATATTCCAACATAAACCCTAAACCATAAACCCTAAACCCTAATATCCTGCTCTCCCTCCTCTTCTTCCTCATACGCCTATTCCTCATCATTCCTCCTCCCGCCTCACCCCCCCCTCTCCTTATTCCTCTTGTTCCTGCTCTGGCGTCTTTCTCGGACCTGTCTTCCACTGCATGCTCCTCTGCATCCCTGATCAGGGCAACTCGTCTGGGCACCGTTTCTGGATGGGCGGGTGAGACTGCGCGACGCGTCTAGAATGTTGTTTGGTTACCCTGGACTTGTGGGCCACAGCTCGAACCAGGCATGAGCCTAACACGATTCGTAAACTTGGAGCATGCAACGTGGTGTAAGCTACTTGGTTCAAGCTATTTGGTGCAGTATATGTGGAACGAACTATGTGGAGCAAGCTACATGGTGTCAGTCGTGCCGTCTAGATACCAGCTGCGCGGCGCAAGCTATGTGGTGCAAGCTACGTGGCGTAAGCGAAAGGGTGCAGCACAGGTGGTGGAATGTGTGTGGGTGGTATAAGATGTGCGGTGCAAGCGGTGTGGTGGAATCCAGGCGAAGCAGTCTGCGTGGAGCACGCTACGCGGCCGCCTGGCGCACAAGGCGCCCACGAAGCGCCCAAAAGGCAGGCACCGGGCGAAACTTCGGCGGGCCCATCCCATTCAGGACGGCGCCCGAGCAAGAACCCCCCCAGGTGCAAGCACTTCCTCGTCCTCCTCCTCCTCGTCCTCCTCCTCCTCCCCCTCCTCCTCCTCCTCCTCCTCCTCCTCCTCCTCCTCCTCCTCCTCCTCCTCCTCCTCCTCCCCCTCCCCCTCCTCCTCCCCCTCCTCCTCCTCCTCCCTCCTCCTCCTCCTCCTCCCTCCTCCTCTCCTCCTCCCTCCTCCTCCTCCTCCTCCTCCTCCTCCTCCTCCTCCTCCTCCTCCTCCTCCTCCTCCTCCTCCTCCTCCTCCTCCCCCCACAACCCCCCCCCCGCCACTTCAGGTCGGCCCGCAGGGCGCACGGCCGCTTGCTGGACGGGCGACCCCCGGCCCAGCCGCCCGACGCCGCGGGGCCGCAGTGCGGGAGCCGCGGGGCGTTGGGCAGGTCGCCCCGCCCTGCGCACGGGTCGGCCGCCTCCTCCTGCCCGGCGGCAGAGGTAGGCGGGGAGGAGGGGGAGGAGGAGGAGGAGGAGGGGGAGGAGGAGGAGGAGGCGGAGGAGGAGGCGGAGGAGGAGCAGGAGGAGGGGGGATGGAGGGGGTGAGCTCCTCCTCAGGGTCTCCCCTCTCCAAGGTGTGGGTGGGGGGCGCCTGGGCGTGGGGCCTGACCCAACGTCGGGGTCTCGAAGAGCCTCGTCGCCGCTGCGTTTGCCAATTGACGATCGGGGCGCCTCTGGACATTCCTTCCAGCGGTGCAGCAGCGGGGGGGAATGAATTTCTTTGGCTGCTGTCGCAGGGGTCTGCGGTCCTTCATCTGATTGACCAATGTCCCTTCAATTCTCGCTCTCTTCAGAACACGGGCCTTCTTGCCGTGCATTGCCCAGCCGTGGCGCGCGGTATCATGTTGGCCCCTGGCGGGTAGGAGACGCTTGGACGACCATGGTCCAGTCACGTCACTGTCAAGGGGCGGAACCATCAATGGCGATGTTATACCGTCTAGTCGAAGGCCCCCCCCACCACTGTGCGCTCAGTGTGTTCCCTCACCCTGCGCGCAGAGCTCCGGAAGCACAGTGAGATGATCTCGACGAAGACTTGTCGCAATGCCATTCCCCGTTGGACTTCTGCGCGCCCAGAATGATGCGTGGTAAGGGCTGCACGCTTCATAACTCAAGCTATGGAGCCCGGGTGGACCTAATGGTGGACGCGGACCCCAGGGCCCATGTGCTGAATTGGCGTTGGCCGCCCCCGTCGCCCTCGTCCTGCTGCTTTCCTGCGTTCCTCCGCATCTCCCTCGAGGGGGAGACGCGGAGGAAATAGTACTGATGAGGGGGGTGGGAGAAGGACGAGGAGAACAAGAAGGACGAGGACGAGAACGAGGAACGGAGGATGTCGGAAGGAGGAGATGGTGCGGGGAGGGTATTGAATGAGAGGAGGAGTAGCAGAAGGGCCGAAAGGACACGGAGACAGAGGAGGAAAAAAAGGACCAGGATGAGAACGCAGAGTACGGAGAGGACGACGATGGGCACGATGAGGGAGAAAGGGGATGGGGAAACGGCATCACGCGCGATGTCGCCGCGAGCGCAGACGCCAAAAACAACGGATAACATGCAACGCGGATGGGGCAATCCTCCTCCGCCTCCTCCTCCGCCTCCTCCTCCTCCTGTTCCTCCTGCTCCTCCTGCTCCCCCTCCTCCTCCTCCTCCTCCTCGTCCTCCTCCTCCTCCTCCTCCTCTCGTCTTCCTCCTCGTCCTCCTCCTCCTCCTCCTCCTCCTCCTCCTCCTCCTCCTTCTCTTCCTCCTCTTCTCGTTTTCCTCCTCCTCCTCCGAAGGCAGGGGCCCGGTGGGGTGGGGGGCGGGGGCGGGTACCGAAAGAGGATGTCAGGAGGGCGGGGCCGCGGCGGCAAGAAAACGAGCGGAGGAGCAGCGGACAACACGGACAGGGAGAGACCGACGGCACCGCGGCCAGTGCCCTGGCCTGAGCAGGAGGACGAGGAGGACGAGGAGTATATATGAGGAGGGCGAGGACGAGGAGGACGAGGAGGACGAGAAGAGGACAAGGAGGAGGAGGAGGACGACGACGACGAGGATGAGCAGGAGAACTTCGATGTGGCTTGCAAGGCCTCCGTACCGACGCACAGCTGAACGGAGGCGAAACATAGCTTCCCTGAGATCCTGGCGGTCACTTTTTTCGAGCCTGGCGTTTCCAAATTCGCCGGCCCAACGGGCCAGGGCGTGCTAAGATCTCCGGTAACTGGTTAACAGTATTAATAGTATTTCTAGTTCGCGCGCGCGGGGCGGCCCCTGGGGGTCCCCCGGCGAAAAGTACCCCGACCAACGCCCGGTCGCCGCCCGACCAAGTCTACTCAGAGATGGTTTTCCTTCTGGGTGCGGCCTCTCAGGCTCCCCAGAGCGCGCTCAGAGTGCCCCAAGAGGCCCCCAAGACTGCCCAAGAGGCCCCCGAGACGCCCAAAGAGCGCTCGAAGACGCCGAAGATGACCCCAAGACGGCCCAAAAGGCCCCCAAGACAGCCCAAGAGGCCTCCAAGACGCCCCAAGAGCCTTCCAAGAGGCCTCCGAAGAGAGCCCCAAGAGGCCAAAATCGTTGATTTTCATTGTTTTTTTTCTATGTTTTTTGTGTTCTGGCTTTTTCGGCTTCCGGACGCTCCAAGACGGCCCAAGAGGCCCCCAAGACCGCTCCAAGACGGCCCACGAAGCTCCCAAGACGGCGCCGAAACGACCCAAGAGAGCCCTCAAGACGGCCCAAGTGCCGCCCAAGACGGACCAAGAGGCCCCAAGACGGGCCCAAGAGGGACTCAGGAGGGATACCGAGAACTCAAAAATGGAGCCCTCCGTCCCAGAAGGCGCCCAGGAGGTCCCAAAGAGGCCCCAAGAGGCCTCCAAGAGGCCCCAAGATGTCGCCAAGAGGCCCCAGGAGACTCCCAGGAGGCCCAAAAGAAGCCCCAGAAGGCTTCAAACATGTCTCCCAGGCGCCCCCGAACGGCCTCTCAACAGACCCCAAGAGGCCCCCCAAAGAAGCATCTTGACGACGACTCTATTTCGCCCCATCGAGAGACGACCCCCAGGGAACTGCTTCACCATCAAAACTCCCCACGCAACGCGTCCGAACGACACCCGCCCCCAAGAGCGCAACATGGGCAACGAACACACAGACAAAAACCAGCGATGCCATATCACGGGCCGGCGGAATGAGCGAAGCGATTCAATAATTTCAGGCCCCGGGGGCCCTCACATGTCGATCCAGCTCGAGCAATGGCGCAGAGAGCTGGGGTCCTGGGCTCCAGTCGTGATTTTTCGCGATTTGGCACCTCAAGGCCTGTCCTGGGCGACATGGCTGGCTCTCACAAGGACCTATGGTTGGAGGAGGAGGAGGAGGAGGAGGAGGAGGAGGAGGAGGAGGAGGAGGAGGAGGCAGAGGAGGGCGACCAGGGTAAGCCCAAGATGCATCACGTATGCGATGACACAACCTCCTGTACCAAGATCGCTCCTCATTCCCTAATCAAAGCTTGCACTGAGGGGGTCCTAGCGGAATTTGAAAAATTTTGCGAAAATTTCCCGCCGATTTTGGTGGCCGCCTGAATTCCGGTGGCCGCCTGAATTCCCAGGTTCCCTGTTCTGGGTTCCTGGGTTCCTGGTCATTGGTTCCGTTCCGATGTTCCTGGGTTCCCAGGTTCCTGGTCGATATCATTATCGATCTCTTTATCGATCCCATTTCAAACCATTCACTGATTGGGGCAGTTCTCTGGTGTACTATCAGACCCTCCCTGCCCCCTGCCCCCCCCCCCGCTCCACTTCCGAAGAAGCGCCCCCCCTGGATAGGCCAGCGCCCCATGTGCCTGCCATTCGGGCTTCAGGCGGGGGCCCCGCGTCGGAAGGGTAGCCGACCGCCTTGCACTCCCTCCAGCGAGCGAGGAAGGGTCAAGCGGACTCCCCGTCTTGAGTCGAGGGCAGAAGATCCACCCCGATAATGAACACCCCGACGCGCGAAGCCGTTTCGTAGACGCACCCAAAGAAGGAATCAGACAGGTCAGGGCAGTTTAGTAAGCGCCCAGGGCCGTGCAAGAAACGCCAATGGTCGGGTCCGGGTGGGATTTCCTTCCCTGGTTGAAGCAGGGCCGCCCCCCGTGCACGGACCTCTCGCGCAGGTCTTCGCGCAGGGCCGTGCGGTGCCGAGGAAGGCCCGGGCGATAGAGCCCGTTTCGTCAGGGAGCCGCCCTCCGTCCGTGCGGCTGCTGCGCCTGTCTGAGTCCATTGGCCCTGGCCACCGCGCGGACACCTCGGGAGCTCAGCTGCCCCCCCCCGATACGCGGCACGCAACCTGCAGCTTGTTGACACGGAGCTCAACGCGTAGACTTAACGCGCAGGTATGACGCGACACGCTCGCCGAAACGTGGGCCAGTACGCTTAGCCACCACGCAATGGATTCACACGGACGCGTTTTGGGCCCGGTGCGTGTGGCGCTTCAAGTCGGGCGAACATCGAAGCATCTGAGCTCAAGGGAACACCCGCTTTGGAGCAGGAGCCGCCCGCAATCCGTGCGGCTGCTGCATCTGTTCAGACCTCTGGTCTGAGCAGATGCAGGAGGAGGAAGGAGGAGGGAGGAGGAGGGAGGAGGAGGAGAAGGAGGAAGGAGAGGAGGACGAGGAGGAGGACTAGGAGGAGGAGGAGGGGAGGAGGAGGAGGAGGAGGAGGAGGAGGAGGAGAGGAGGAGGAGGAGGAGGAGGAGCGGGAGGAGAAGGAGAAGGAGGAGGAGAAGGAGGAGGAGGAGGCAGGCAACAGGACGAGGACGGCGCGGCGCGCGGCGCGCTCCGAGCGCCCGCGCTTGCGCTGAACCGCCGTGGCCATGTGGGCCGCTCCCCAGGGCGGCCCGCGGGCGGCGCAACGGTCTCGCTCCTGAGCCGCGCCTGGCCCGCGGGCATGCGCGCCTCCTCCGCCGATGGAGCAGGGACGGAAGGGGAAGGACGAGGAGGGAAGGAGGAGGGAGAGGGAGCGGGAGGAGGAGGAGGAAGAGGAGGATGAGGAAGAGGAGAAACCGGCGCAGGAGAAGGAGGAGGAGGAGGAGGAAGAAGAGGAGGGCGAGAAGGAGGAGCCGGAGGGGGAGGAAGAGCCGGAGGAAGGGGGGGAGGAGCAGGAGGAAGATGAGCAGGAGGAACGGATATGGATGGGGGAGAGAAGGATCGATCGATCGAGCTTTGGGGCCGAGTTCGAGGTGACGCCTACTGAAGCTACTCTGTAATGCTTCGAAACTGCTCAGCCCGGCTGTGGTCACTTAGGACTGGGGGAAACTGACGCCCACAGACGCACGGGCCCTTCCCGCACCGTCTCTCCCCCACGCAGGAGGAGTGCGGGCGGGGTGGCACCCGCCCTCGCGGACATTCCCTCGCCTGCTGTCCATGGCCTTTGCCCTGGGTTTGCCCCCCTCTCGATTCCCCTTTGGGGGGCACTTCAGGGGGTGGAGGAGGACGGCGTACCAGGAAGTATTCGGGAAACCTCCGCCCTTGAAATATGAAAACTTCTGGCGTGTCCTGGGTGGGCGTTGGAAGTCAACCGCTCTGTACTAACTCTCGGAACCTAGCGCTGGCCTCAAAAACTCGGGGGATCGTCCTCGGGATTTCTCCGATTTCAACCCCCTCGATTCGAACACTGTATTCGTCCGAGGCTGGATTCGACTGCTCGCGCGCCAAGGTCAGCGCGAGTCGCGCGGTAATGTCGAGCATCTGCTGGTTGGCGCCTCCCGCTGCCGCCGCCGTCTGTCCCCCTGGCTAACCCCGTCGTGGTCTGCTGCGGTCCGCCCTCTGGCCCGGAGCCGTCGCCGTCGGTCGGGGCCTCTGGTCCAATATGGACATCGCGTGGCGGCTGCAGAAGCGGTCGAGGGAGGCACGTGCACAGGCGTCGGTAGCAACAATCTCTGTCAAAACCAACATGACTACAGAGCGGACACTGTGGTGCGTGACGCCGTCCAGGATGTTGGGTTACCGTGCGATCTGTATTGCATCCTCCTCGTAAGATGCTGTTGACTAAATGCTTCCATGCTGTACCTTTACATGTAAACGCCTGCTTGCAATTGATGCATTCGTTGTTGCTTGTGAGTTATGCTGCCAGGTTGTGGCTGTGGCGTGCTCGCATGATATGACTGTGTAATGCCTTCTTGCTTGAGAATAGTAGCCCACACTCCCCATCCCCGCCGTGTAGCTCGCATTTCCACGGCTTGTTTTCTCGCCGTGCAAATTATTCATGCTGTTCGTCTGTCTCGATCGTCGTTTGAGGAGGAGGGGCAACCACCGTTAGTTTAACAGCTCGGACCACGCGCACAGCGAGTTGATGCAGGTTTGCTCGTACCCCCATGGCAAAGAGTCGGCCGATCCGCACGTGTTCCGCCTCCCCGAAAGGGTTGTAGGAACTCTCCGAGACCCCGCATGCATGTCGGATGTCCTCCAGGAATCGTTCGGCCCAGGGGTTTGTGTCGCGCCGCAATTCGCCCCCTATCTCTCGGCCCCCCGCGTTCTCAAATTCGAACTTTTCCAAACAGCGCGACGATGGGTTGGCGATGATTGCCTGAAAACCGGAAGATGTTTTTGAGCCAGCCCTGACGTCGTGCCAGGGCAGTATTTGCCAGTGGCGGAACACCTCCAACGTGCTCAGGGATCACACGTTGCGCCATCTCGCCCGGTGGTGGCTCGGCCCCGCATGGCCCTTCTCAGTAGTGCTCCAATTGCGCGTTGGAGCTGCGTGTGCTCGCTGGGCGCTGGCAGGTAGCACTCGACGCAGGATCGTCCCGCGTTGGCTACTCGGCAGATCAATGCTGCTCGGTTCCGCATGTATGGGATGTTGGTTTTACTCCAGAAATCCCCGCATTCATAGTCGCTCTTCTTCATGGCCCTGGTTCGGTATGTAAGTCCTGCGGCATGTGCCTGCGTCACGCTAATCTGCGGCCCTAAATGGCGCGCCGTTGGTAGCGTCCGCCTTGGTAATCTGCATCTCGGGTCGCGCTTAAGTTGGTGGTGCGCTCGCTGCTTGCCTTATCCTTGAAACTGGACGAGGCGATCCTGTTCGTCCTGGTTCTGGCGCGCCCCGATGCTCTGCAGTCGTTCAATAAGGTCCTCGTCCACGTGGCGCGCCTGTTGCACCAGCCGCGGTGCGACTGCATGCATTCCGCCCAGGGTGATATCGCGGAGGTCGTCGGCGTACTTAGCGAGGCCCACGTAGACAGGCTGTTGAAATAGTTCGCTGCGCCCGTAGAGTTCGCGGCCATGGTCCAGGTGTTCGTTGCAATCGCGAACCCATCGTTGGATGCGCGGCGCGAAGCTGGCCGCGAAGTTGCGCGCGACGCACGGGTCGCCGACGAGTCCTCCACAGCGTGGTTCGATGCATGCTCCCGTCGGTCTGTCTCGGCATGGCGCGTGGATAGTCGCGCGCCTGTAAGCGCTGTTCTCCCAAGTCCCAAACGTCCTCTGGCATAATCTGTCTGTTGGCGGCGCCCATCGTGATCCGCGAGCAGCTCGCGAAAGCGTTCGTCATATCCTTCAGCGTCATGGTGAAACTGCGGCCTGCTTTACGTGCTCGGTACTCCACTACTGCCATGGCCAGCATTGCTCCCTCTCGACGCCGTCCTTTGATGAAGCCATGGTCCTGGTCCGCATGGGCTCTTGCACATCGTCGTCGCATGCTGGCTGGGTAGTACGCTTTGCCGATCGGGTCCATGATGCGGTAAATGATCTTGCCTGGCGGTCCTGGTTCGTTGTTCTGCTTGGCTGCTGTTGTCGCTCCCTGGTGCCGGCGTGCTGGGGTGGTCTTGCTGAGTCGTATCGCTGCATGCGGCGCTCGCAATGCGTCGTTGAGGTGGTCTGGTTTAGCCTGCGTGGTTGGCGCTCCCAGGCCTTGGTGTCATTGTGGTGCTGGTGTGTAGTCTCCCAGTAGTAGTCTCCATGATTCGGAAGGCGCCGCCGCGGGTGGCGCTGCTCGTCTTAGTTTTGCTCTCTTGAGGCTGTGCTTGATGTTCTCGATGCCCTGGTCGATTACGTCCTCTAAATCGTTATCGTCGTAGTCTTGCGCCTCTGCATGGGTTGGTATCTGCGCCAAAGTGTCGTCGTCTTGCTCCGTTCCCTCCATTCTACCCATTCCTCCTGGTAGTTTCCAGAACTCCAACCATTATTCCCTTGTGGGTTGTGCTGTACTTCTAATCCAGTAGTCGCGTTTCCGTGGTCCGCACCTGCCTCCCGCTATGAGTCTGGTCAACCTTCCCACTCTCACCAAGTCCCTGCATTCCCACGCCTGGCACAATTCTGCCACTCTGTCGTCCGTCAGCTTCTGGTACTCCACCCTACGCATTGTCGCTCATTCCCTGGTGATCTGGCGTTGTTGGTTCTCGATACCGCATAGTTTTCTTTCCGTTGGGTCCGTCGGTTGGGCCCCAGTAGCAACGCTGTCCCTCGGTGATGACCCTGTTGCAGCGTAGTCCTCGGTTGACCTCGCAGTAGCGGTAGCACTTGCCGTCGCTGGAGGTTTTGTAGCAACGCAGTCCGTCTCTGTCGTCGCAGTGGTATTGCATGCCGTAGTCTGCGACCCAGTAGTAACACAGTCCGTCGGTGGTGGCCCAGTAGTAACACGTGCCTTCTGTGAAGATCCAGTAGTCGCACTTGCCCTCTGTGTGGGCCCAGTAACGTAGGTGTTCGGCACCTTGTTCGTCTGATATTCCTCTATGGGCCCGGTGCGTAGTGCTTCGCCCTCCCTCCTGAGTCGTTCCCGTAGTGGTCTGCGCTGTCTAAGTATTTCCATTATGCGTGCTCGTAGGTCCGTATATGCCGGTGCGGGTGGTGGTTGTTGTCCACATATGGGGTGTGCCGCCTGTACGGTCATATCGTTGATATCCGAAAACAGCTGGTCGATGCCCTTGTTGGCGGGATCGCACGTCTCGGGTCTGGTCTCCAACGCCTCTACGAACTCGTTGCGATGTTGTCCATGTCGTGCCGCTTGAGCAAGTCTACTGTTGTCCCATCTTACTGGTTTCTTTCTTTGGGCTCGTTAGATGCGCCTCGTCGCTGTGATCGTTGCCTGTAGTGGTACGTGGTCGCGGTGGTATCTGCTTGGGATCTGCTGTAGTCTGGTGCCCATGCGGAGTTGGGGGTCCCTGGCTGATTACGTTGCAAGAGAGTTTCTATGGCACAATGACAAAGTCAATGCAGCTCGCCGTGTGCGTGCCGAAGAACGTCGGGCGCCATGGTGAGGTGCTGCTCGTTACCAAAAGTTGATGGCGCTCCGCGTATTGTCGTGCTCGATGTCCTGCGCCTCCTGGTAATCTTTCTTTGGCGCGGTACTCGCACTGCGCCGTGCTCGGTGGTGTATGTTGTATGCCGATGCCGATCCCGTCGTCCAGGTCACCCGCGTTGAATGGTAAGTTTCCTGGTGGGTGCTGTTGCGCACTGGTATCCATCCATGTGTAAAATCGTGCCACTGTCGCATAGTATTGTTCCTTCTCCTCTTTCGTACGCGGCTGTGGTGGGAAGTCGTACCCACTGATCGTCAGTCGACGTGTGTGGTGCGCAATGTCGAGTGCGACGCCTCGCCCGCAGAGTTCTGGTGGCATGCGCGGCAAGTGTGTCCGCTCCTCTTAGCCGTCCTTGTAGTGCCACCAGGATGCCAGTGCTGCGGTTGGTAAGCAATCCACTCTGCCACCCTGCATCGATGTACCTCGCGTGTTGTAGTCTCCGTTGGTCTGGTTGTTCTCCTCGTCGGAGTCTTTGTGTGCCTATCAGGATCACGACGTCAAAATTGCCAGCTTCCTCTAGGATCTCCTGGAGTCTATCCTCTCTGGCCGTCAACGGATTGTAGAGCAGCAGCGCGAGGGTGGTCATCCACCTCGGTGCAAACTTTCGGGTTTCGCCCAATCAATCCTGCCTCC